GCAATGGATCATTAACGAGGCGGATGGGATGACAACTAACCAGGACAACCCCTGCAAGACCTACTCGACCTACCATGTTGAGGTAAGCGACATGTTGCCCGGCCTACTGTGCAGTCTATGCACTCCTTATTCCCGAGGAATGGTCAGATGTGCTGTGCCCCATTCAAATCACCAGGCATTTTGTTTACGTTGGCTGCCCGGGTCTCACAAGTACAGATCTCCTCCACTCCCCACCACATCCCCAGTTTCCAGTGTGTGCTCTGGAAGTGGGATGTCCCAGGGACCGCGTGGGGCAATCCCTACCTCGTTGTCATGCCTGACATCATGCACCAGGCGGACCTGGGCATCATGAGCCACATTGTGGCTGCCGTGCGCAAGATGAAGAAGCGGCGCGTGAAGCAGATGGACAGGTCAGTGTTTTGGGGGATTGGATTCGTTGCTCTTGGTCACAAAAACTCAAAGCAAAACTACTGTGCTCTTACTGACATGTTTCTGGATTTGTGCCGCCGTTAAACTGATGTGTATGGACAGGCGTTTGTCACTCATTCGCTACCGCACGCGACTGAATCACATGCGCATGCCAGAGAGCGCCTACTTCGAGACCGGAGCATGTGTCGCGGCCTATGAGCACAGGGCCGTCATGCAGGTATGAAAGCCTTGATTGTTATCATCGTGTGCGATAGGCTGCACCCTAACCACACAGCATGCTGCACCCTGCCCCCTCGTCCATTCCCTGTTGCTTGTCCCCACCGCTCCTCAACCAGTCTGCTCATGCTGCCACTCCTTGTCCCTACTCCTCACACCATCTGTGCTAACCCTCCCCCTTGCTGCTATCCCCGAATTCTGCAGGTCATGGTGTTTGTTTTTGCCGGCCTGCTTCGCCAGCCCCAGATGGATGCAGTTCGTGCCTATCTTGGATGGTACCTCCTGTGCTCCCAGCTACAGAGGAACACTGAGCGGTCCCTTCGGGAGCTGAAGAAGATGACGTCCCGGTACTAATACCATGCATGTAAACCCCTGTGCATGGGATGAATGCTTGGCTACTGTAAATGTGCTCTTGTAGTAGGCAATCTGGTGAGGATGTTGTTGCTAAACTTTTATAGGAAAGAATCTAGAATAGGAAAGCCATATGAATAAGTAGACTCTGATGTGTTTGCACGTGTTGTCATTCCCCACTCCCATCAGGCTGGTTGAACAGTTGCAGGCTGCCTTTCCAAAGCAGCCATCCTCTTGGTGCCTTGTGAAAACCCATCTCATGTCGCATTACGTCAACTCCATTCGTCGAGCGGGTCATGTGACCGAATTCAGCACCAACATGTTTGAGCAGTTGCACGGACCGTTGGTAAAGAGGATCTACCGTCGGTCCAACAAGCGCAATGTAGATGGGCAGATCATGAAGTTCCATGCTAGGCGCATTCCGGATGTGGTGCCGGTGGACGATCCTGCTGGCCAGGACACAGCCATGCGGCAGGTAAACATGTTTAGTACCTGAATTGCATGGATATGAATACAGAATGTAATAAAATCCTTATCATATGCTGGCAGGCAATTGAGACCGACACACGGACTCTTATTAAGGAGTCATACTTCCTCCCTGTGGAGTTACCAGAAGAACCCACCTCCACCAACTGGTTTGCAAGGAAGTGGGCCAAGAAACACCCTGGTGCCCAAGCTGCCCTCAAGGATGCGTTAATACGTTATGCCGAATGCGTCACCGAGATTCAAGTAAGTACTTGAATGTTTGTGCAATCAACCATCATTTGACTGGCCAGTATCAGTGATGACCACCACCAATTGTTATGCAGGCCCATTCATCGCTGGCAATCCCTGCGGCAGACGACGCCATCTTCTCAAGAGTTTCTCACTTTGTTCGAGCGACTCTTGACTATTTTGAGAGGCCATGGTACTCGGATGTTGCAGTGGAGGGTGTAAGGTATGGTCGGAGAGAGGAGTGGTATGCAAGGTTGCTTCTGTTGTTCCATACAAAAATACGTGGAGAGAGGGAGGAGCTGGCGTACATTAGATATTGGAATGCAAGCGGAGAGGATGCTGCAACAGGATGCCTTCGCCTCAAGTGGACGACAAGAATGTATGCGTACTCCGTGATTCCGATTGAAGCGCTGCTCCGCCATGTCCATGTGGTGAAGGCATTCCATCTGGACAGTACCTATCTCCTTAATAAGTATCAAATGTGATGCATGTATCTTGTAATAAAATGGCCAGCATATTTTCCAGCAGTCACCTTTTACAGAAGTCAAAGCTAAGAAAACAATTTACAAATTTACAACTAATTTGGCACGCTCCATATAAACGACAATGTACCGGAGTCGCGAATTCGATTTCGACTCTGACAAACAAACGCGTTCCGATTTCATCCCGTGATTGGTCGCGTTTTTGTTTCGGAACTTCGCCACTCAAAACACCTGAACTGTACCCCCCTTCGAACCCCTTCAAAAACACTGGTTTTTTGTGATGCAGCAGTCAGGGGGGAAAAGGGAGATGAGGGTGCCAAGGAGCTGGTCATCCAGTTATTGGAGTGCGCAGTGGTGTGAGGTCAGTACTGTCGCGAAAGAAACAGCAGGACGCTCCAGATTCTAGGGTGAAGGAAAGTTGTGCGGTCTGTGAGGTCGCACAGCGACAAAGGCTGATTCTAGACTACTGGTAGCTGCAGCTCCTACACAAAGATGCTCAGAGGTGCCTGGACTGGGAACAACACACGCACCAAGACTGGAAACACAGGTCTCTACTCGTGCAGCCAGGAAAGGTCCTAGACCAGGTAGGTGAGACTCAACTGGTACAGCAGTGTGCTGGCGAAGACGCGAGGGCCAGTGTGGTGTAATAGCGTGAGGACCAAAACGCTCACGGTGGAGGTCATCGAGTTGACGGTAGCAGCTGGACACAGAGTGGTCAGGACTCCAACAAGTAGTGCTAGCACAAGGGCCCGTCAGGGCCCGGTACCCGCAGGGGCCGACGTCTCGCCCACTGCTAGCTGAGCCACTGCTGGGGGCGCCACACTTTGGACCCGCAGGTCCCCACTGCCGGGAGTGCTGCGGCTGGCCCTGCTGCTGTAGACCCCTAGTACACACCAATGGGAGGAGCTAGAAACGGGAGGGGTGTGCTCGCAGTAGTCTAAGCTGCTGCTGGTTTTGCTAGGGGCAGCCAATACTGCTGCTGGTTCTGCTGGGGGCAGCTTATGCTGCTGCTGGTACTGCTGGGGGCAGCCTAAGCTACTGTTGGTGCGTTGGCGGTAGCCTAAGCTGCTGCTGGTGCGCTGGGGGCAGCCTATGATGCTTCTGGTTCTGCTGGGGGCAGCCTAAGCTACTACTAGTACTGCTTGGGGCAGCCTAAGCTGCTGCTGGTGTGCTGGCGGTAGCCCAAGCTGCTGCTGGTGCGCTGGGGGCAGCCTATGCTGCTTCTGGTTCTGATGGGAGCAGCCTAAGTTGCTACTGGTTCTACTGGGGGCAGCCTAAGTTGCTACTGGTTCTGCTGGGGGCAGCCTAAGCTGCTGCAGGTGCGCTGGGGGCAGCCTATGCTTCTCCTGGTTCTGCTAGGGGCAGCCTAAGCTGCTACTGGTTCTGCTAGGGGCAGCGTAAGCTGCTGCTGGTGCACTGGCACTAGCCTAAGCTACTACTGGTGCGCTGGGGGCAGCCTATGCTGCTTTTGGTTCTGCCGGGGGTAGCCTAATCTGCTTCTGGTTCTGCTGGGGGCAGCCTAAGCTACTGATGGTGCGCTGGCAGTAGCCAAAGCTGTTGCTGGTGTGCTGGGGACAGCCTATGCTGCTTCTGGTTCTGCTGGGGGCAGCCAATGCTGCTGCTGGTGCTACTGGCGGCAGGTGTGGCAGCTCGTGGGGAGGCGGGTCTCAGCGTGGGGCGGCGGCTTTGACAGCGGGTGGGGCAGTAGAACTGGTAAGGCAGCGAGTGGGGCAGCTGGACGCGAGTGGGGTTGCAGATATGGCTGGGGCGGCGAGCTGCAGGTGAGGCAGCGGGAATGGGTGGGGCGGCAAAACTGGTTGGGTGGCTGGTTAAGGGTGGGGTGGTAGAACTGGGAAGGGGTGGCTATTCTGGCTGGGGCGGTGGGCTAAGGCAGTGGGAACGGGTGGGGCGTCGGGCTACGGGGAAGGGTGTGGGGCGGGTTGCAAGTGGTGCGACACGCAGGCTGCACGGGCTGCTATGCGAGCGGACGAGCGGGTGTGTGCGACTGCACGAGTGGATGTGCAGGCGGCGCGACAGGGGGAAAACGGTAGGGCTCGACGGGGAAAAACGGGCAGGCCGCGACGGGGGGGGGGAGGGGGGGTACGACGCGACGGATTTGACGGGTGCAGCGACGGGAAAACGGGTGGCACGCAGAATACGGAGCACTACGAGTCACGAATTGACGGGGCGCTACGGGCTAGGGCGCTTCGGGCTAGGGCACTTCGGGCTAGGGCAGGTTACGGGGGGGGGTGGGCCCATGGGATCTTTCATCGCTCTATACCATGTCAAGTTACAAAACTGTAAGAATTGACTAAGGAAAGTGAAACAAGCAAGATATATGAGACCTAACCCTAACCCTATGAGATATGAATGTAATACCTAGACTAACCTAAATGACACATAAAATATATGTTGACAGCAGATACTCCTACAACTGCTTCCTGCCAAAGCCAAGCCCCAAGTGCGAACGCGCATAGGGTGGCACGTCTCCCATATTGGACTACCGGCATGTGTTCAAGGACTAGGTCATTAAGGCATGTGTGTTTAGGGCATACCATACTGACTATGTAACTATGTTCCACTGTCAGCCATTGTAGCACCCTAAGTGCAAGCATTCCTAGTATCCCTCCCTCCTTTACTGGCGGTGAGGTACTCATGCAGCAGGTTCACCCACTCTTGTAATGTGATCTACGAATTTCAAATGGAAATAGAGCTTATGTCTGCACATGGTACTAGTTGTACAACACAATTGCAGTATATTTTCTTCAATATGCTGCACATTTTTGCTGCAAGCACATTTCCTGCCTGCTAGTCAAGCCAGTGGGCTGTCTTTCTTAGGGCTGGGATGGCAAACTCCAAACCCTTGTTGTCTGATCCAGCCCATTGAAGTTCCTGGACTGCTGCAGCCTTCACCAGCTCCTCAGGGCAATAGCTCACCAGCTCCTCAGGGCAATAGCTCACCAGCTCCTCAGGGCAGTAGATCACCTGCCTAACTGTCTGCCTAGACAACTGCCTACACCGTTTCTTCACCCTATGCAGTGGGGACAAGTCAAACCCCTTGTTGCCACTCTTAGCAGCACTTTTGGCTTCTCTGGTAGCACTCTTGGCTTCTCTGGCAGTGCTCTTGGCTTCTCTGGCAGCACTCTTGGCTTCTCTAGCAGCGCTCTTGGCTTCTCTGGCAGCACTCTTGGCTTCTCTGGCAGCACTCTTGGCTTCTCTGGCAGCACTCTTGGCTTCTCTGGCAGCACTCTTGGCTTCTCTGGCAACACTCTTGGCTTCTCTGGCAGCACTCTTGGCGTCTCTGGCAGCACTCTTGGCTTCTCTCGCAGCACTCTTGGCTTCTCTGGCAGCACTCTTGGCTTCTCTGGCAGCACTCTTGGCTTCTCTGAAAGCACTCTTGGCTTCTCTGGCAGCACTCTTGGCTTCTCTGGCAGCACTCTTGGATTCTCAGGCAGCACTCTTGGCTTCTCTGGCAGCACTCTTGGCTTCCCGGGCAGCAGCAGCTCTCGCCTGCTACTCACAATACTTGGCATGTAACCGATAGTTAGGTACATTAACACCATATCCTGACAGCAAGTCAACAAATCGTCAAGCAAGATTTCCTACCAGAAAGCAATGGCTAGGGGGCAACGAGTTAATATATTTTCTTAGGCTGCAGGGTCGAACCCCTTGTTGCCACTCTTGGAGGCAGCACTCTTGGCTTCGCGGGCGACAGCAGCCTTGGCACACTCCTCACAATACTTGGCCACTTGTCTGAACTTGGGCGCGCTCTGGAGGTCAATGACTGTCTTGTCCTTGAGGATGATTGAGATGTTTCCGTGGCGCAGCCGCAGCAGCCGTTGATATGGGGCTGTTTCTGGCGATCGTGGTGCTGCTGTGCGATAGGGTGGTGCCGACGAGGAAGCTGGTGGCGTTTGAGGCGCTGCATTGGCGGAGGGGGTGGCCGGAGGGCACTGCGGGCAAGATCATGCGGAGCGACGCGGTGGGGTTTGTGCAGCTGGTGCGCGAGATCTACCTGCCAGGGCAGCCGCCCATGCCCGATGAGGACAAGGGCGGCGAGGAGGGCATGCCGGACATGGGGCTGGAGCGGTTTGAGACCCTCGTGGATGATGTGAGTTGGTATTTGTGTTGGGTGATGTGGGTTGAATGATATGTAGCTGTGTGTTGGTATTTGCGTGTGTGCCTGCATCAGTGCTTAAGTTTTCAGGAGCCTCTTCTCACTCCCGTTTTCAGCTGTGTTTATGCTTCTTGCCTTAACTCTTCCCAACTCCTCCCCCTCTCCCCCCTCCTCCCCCCGTCCCCACGCCCACTACAGTATTTCCCCATTCTCTACACCCTACGCAAGCTGGAGGCTTACGATCGTACCCGACACCTGGGCATGTCGTGCGACGTGTGTCGATACGCCATAGTCGAGCTGCGCTACCGCGAGACCAAGTCGTGTTTCGACCTCTATGCCACGTGCTACAGCGAGAGGAAAGCCCATGCCAAGCATGCAGGCCCCTCTCTACTGTCGTCACGTAACCGTGTGTTCACTTTTGCCGAGTACGTGACCGGGACGGATAAGGTGAGGGAGAAGTTTGGGCTGCATGGAAGGACGTTGGCTAAGACACCAACAACGAGAGGAGGGGCCACGGCAGGAGCAAGAGGAATGGCAGGAGGAGTGGGAGGAGTGGAAGCAGGTGGTGGTGCTGGGGTGAGTGGGGGAGGTCAAGCGGAGGCGTCACCAGATGCAGAGGCTTGAGTGATGGGTTGGTTGATAGTTATTGCTGGAGTTGTATGAGGGAGAAGCAATTGGAGTGGATGGAACGGAAGAGAAGGAGGGGATGGGAGAAGTGCTATCAGCCTTTCAGGTGCTGCTGCTGGTGGTTTCAGGACAAATCTGAGTGGTTGAAAGGGGGAAGTTGGTTACAGTTACATAAAATCTTTGGCACAGAATGGAAGTGCTTGGGTTGTGGTAGATACGTGGTAGGTGTGTATGTGCAACTGACAGTTAGTGAAGCTATAGAGTGACTTGCAGATTTAGCCAAGGAATTAGAGTTCATGCCATAGGCCATAGAGGCAACTTGTTTCGAAACAAGAAATGCAATAGTACAGCATTTGTCACAATTCTCATACCATGTATAATTTGATCCTCTTTTTTACATCTTTCGTATTTGGCCCAAATAGTGATGTCTATCCCTTTTCCGTGATAATTTGGCTAATTCCATTCCTGGACTCTCTTGTGAAGCCCCTGAATAACACTTCAGAAATGTATCTACGTGTAAGGAATTTTCTCGACATTCCTTATCGTGACCATCAACATCGCGTACAGCAGCACCCGTTGTTTGCCCGTTATTGCTAACGGGGCTTCGCCAACTTCGCGCGCACTGTTTTACCAAACCATGCACTGCTGGCCTAGCCGAGTCGGCCTACGCTTCGGGACTAGCTCGAACCTCGATACCAACCTATCATTAGCTAGCTCGCACGCACCGCGTAACCGTTGCATGTTTCGCACATAAGTATTCGCTCATGCCTTCGCTCATACTTTGTACCTTTTGACCACATAGTGCAATCCTCGCTATCTCGTTACATTGCACCCGTAACACTTGGTATTCGGAGCCATTTTCTTTCGGACCGTGCATCTCCGCACCCAGAGAAACCAACTTTTGATTTTTGCACTCAAATGGACTAACACCCCTTAGCACCTAGGAGCCGCTGTCCTCGTGTAAACGCGTGCGGCCACGACTGCGCCTAGAGCTAAGACGAGACACCGTCCCTCGACATGGCTGAACACATCGACGTCACGAGCCTTACGCAGGAGCGTTTGAATGAACTGCTGCAGCAGCTACGCAAAAGTTCTGAAAAAAATCACGGCACTGACGGCAGAGCGCACGTCCCTGCAGAATGACGTCGCACGAGCGCAACAAGCACAGTCACAGACACAAGGCACGCACGGACAACCTGCACGATAGGCATCACAACATGGAAGCGTGGGGCAACCCTCGAGCACAGCTAGTGATGGCATCAACCCGCAACGACGGAGACGACGACCGCGGCGCGACACACCCCGTAGTAACGAATGCGGCCAGAAGCCAACTTCGCGTCACAATTTTGGTGCCGACCGGCGAGTTAGCACTGCCGTCGCCGATGCCGCTTAAGCTGCAGCGTCCGCCTTGCTTTGACCCGAGTCAACGGGGTGGTCCTACCATTCAAGCGTGGTTATTCACCATGAACGTGTTTTTCGACGTGAACTACGTCTCGGAGGATTCAGCGAAGATTTGCTACGCCATGTCGCTGCTACGAGGACCGCCATGGATTGGTGGCGCGTCATCGTCACGAAGCCGACGGACTACCAGACTCTACCGGCACAGGATGGACAAACCGGACCCTGGGCACCGTCGTATTTCATGGAAGTGCCCCAGTATCCCACGTGTGAGAATCGTATGAGCCATAGCTAGGGTGTGAGCTAGGCAAGTGTTGAGAGAGTTGAGATAGTAAGGAAGAAGTGGGTTCACTAAGAGAAAAAAGGTACAAGATATAGGAGTGAGAGATGGCAAAGGGTGCACCACCTACAGGGACTAAAACGGTAACTACACTACAGCTATAACTATATGCAGTTATACAGAAATGTATATAAAATATATTCTGACACACCCCCTCACTGCATGCAGGAATAGCCATGTGCAAAACACCCCCTGAAGGGGTACACCCTGCGCAGCGGAAGAAGGAGAGGGCAAATGAGGAGGAGGTGGCTGATGCTGCAGCTGGACTCACAGCACCCCCTCAACCTCCCCCCGTACAGCAGCAGCAGCAGCAGCAGCAGCAGTGAGGAGAGAGAGGAGGAGGCGTGGCGGGAGTTGGTGCTGCAGATCCATTCCGGCCACCCCCTTACCCTCCAAGAGCCCACCACCCCCATACCCCCCCCCCCCCCCCCAACTGCTGCACCCGCAGCAGGGAGAGGGAGGAGAAGGGGGGGGAGGGGGCGGGGTAGGGGCTGTGCATGGGGCTGCAGATGTGCGTGCAGAGGGCAGCAGGGTGCACGGGGCGCACAAGACAGCAGGGCGCGCGGGGCACGCAGGGCTGCAGGGCGGCAGGGCGCGCGGGGCGCGCAGGACAGCAGGGCGCACGTGGCGCGCAGGGCTGCAGGGCGCGCGGGGCGTACAGGGCAGAAAGGCAGCAGGGCGCGCGGGGCGCGCAGGACAGCAGGGCGCGCGTGACGCGCAGGGCTGCAGGGCGCGCAGGGCGCACAGGGCAGCAGGGCGCGCTGGGCGCACAGGACAGCAGGGCGCGCGTGGCGCGCAGGGCTGCAGGAAGGGCTGTAGCGACAACAGCAAGGGCTGTAGCGGCAGCAGCAGGGTCTGTAGCGGCAGCAGCAAGGGCTGTAGCGGCAGCAGCAAGGGCTGTAGCGGCAGCAGCAAGGGCTGTAGCGACAGCAGCAAGGGCTGTAGCGGCAACAGCAATGGCTGTAGCGGCCGCAGCAAGGACTGTAGCGGCAGCAACAAGGGCTGTAGCGGCAGCAGCAGGGGCTGTAGCGGCAACAGCAATGGCTATAGCAGCCGCAGCAAGGACTGTAGCGGCAGCGACAAGGGCTGTAGCGGCAGCAGCAAGGGCTGTAGCGGCAGCAACAAGGGCTGTAGTGGCCGCAGCAAGGGCTGTAGTGGCAGCAGCAAGGGCTGTAGCGGCAACAGCAAGGGCTGTAGCGGCCGCAGCAAGGACTGTAGCGGCAGCAGCAAGGGCTGTAACGGCAGCAGCAGGGGCTGAAGTGGCAGCAGCAGGGGCTGTAGCGGCAGCAGCAAGGGCTGTAGCGGCAGCAGCAAGGGCTGTAGCGGCAACAGCAAGGGATGTAGCGGCCGCAGCAAGGACTGTAGCGGCAGCACCAAGGGCTGTAGCGGCAGCAGCAGGGGCTGTAGCAGCAACAGCAAGGGCTGTAGCGGCTGCAGCAAGGGCTGTGGCGACAGCAGCAAGGGCTGTAGCGGCCGTAGCAAGGGCTGTAGTGGCAGCAGCAAGGGCTGTAGCGGCAACAGCAAGGGCTGTAGCGGCCGTAGCAAGGACTGTAGTGGCAGCAGCAAGGGCTGTAGCGGCACTAGAAGGGGCTGTTTCGGCGGCTGGCAGCAGCGGCTGTAACAGCAGTAGCCTCTACAGCAAGGCAAGGGCGGCAGCAGCAGTTGCTGAGTGGCAGTGAAGCCAGTGCACGCAGCAGGGGTAGCGCACGAGCGGCGCTGGTAAGGAGCAGACGGCAGCGCAGCAGCGCAGACAGGGCGCTTGCCGGCGGCGCAGGGCAGCGTGCGGGCAATGCAAGCCGCTTGCGCAGCGTGCAGGCAGTGCGCTGGGCGGGGGGGGGCTGGTGCTGCAGATCCCCTCCCCCCCACTGCTGCACTCGCAGCAGGGGAATGGAGGAGAAGAGGGGGGGGGGGGGGCGCAGGGGGGGCTGGTGCTGCAGATCCCCTCCCCCCCACTGCTGCACCCGTAGCAGGGGAATGGAGGAGAAAGGGGGGGCTGGGGGGGCCTGGTTCTGCAGATCCCTTCCTGCCACCCCTTGAACCTCCAAGATCCCGCCACCCCCATACCCCCCCCCCCACTGCTGCACCCGCAGCAGGGGGATGGAGGAGAAAGGGGGGGTGCGGAGGGGGCTGGTGCTGCAGATCCCCTCCCCCCCACTGCTGCACCCACAGCAGGGGAATGGAGGAGAAAGGGGAGGCGGGGGGGCTGGTGCTGCAGATCCCCTCCCCCCCACTGCTGCAGCCGCAGCAGGGGAATGGAGGAGAAAGGGGGGGCTGGGGGGGGCTGGTGCTGCAGATCCCTTCCTGCCACCCCTTGAACCTCCAAGATCCCGCCACCCCCATACCCCCCCCCCCACTGCTGCACCCGCAGCAGGGGGATGGAGGAGAAAGGGGGGGGCGGAGGGGGCTGGTGCTGCAGATCCCCTCCCCCCCACTGCTGCACCCGCAGCAGGGGGAAGGAGGAGAAGGGGGGGGGGGGGGGCGGGGGGGGGGCGGGGGGGGGCGGGGGGGGGCTGGTGCTGCAGATCCCCTCCCCCCCACTGCTGCACCCACAGCAGGGGAATGGAGGAGAAAGGGGAGGTGGGGGGGCTGGTGCTGCAGATCCCCTTCCCCCCACTGCTGCACCCGCAGCAGGGGAATGGAGGAGAAGGGGGGGGGGGGGGGGGCGGGGGGGGCTGGTGCTGCAGATCCATTCCGGCCACCCGCTTACCTTCCAAGAGCCCACCACCCCCATACCCCCCCCCCCACTGCTGCACCCGCAGCAGGGGAGTGGAGGAGAAGGGGGGGGCGGAGGGGCGTCAGTCGCGGCCGTAGGGGCGTCGGGCGACGGGCCGGGCCGCGTGGGCTAGGGGCGACGGGCCGGGCTAGGAGCGACGGGCCTACGGGCCGTGCTAGGGGCGACGGGCCGGCCTAGGGGCGTCGAGCGACGGGGCCGGGCCTAGGGGAGCGACGGGCGACGGGGCCCACGGGCCTAGGGGCGCTGGGCGACGGGGCCGACGAGCCTAGGGGCGGCGGGCGCGATCGACGGGCCGGGGGCCGGAGCCTAGGGGCGACGCTCGACGGGCGACGGGCCGGGACCGGGGCCTAGGGGCGTCGGGCGCGAGCGACAGGCGACAGGGCCGAGGGGCGACGGGCCTAGGGGCGACGGGGCCGGGGCCAAGGGGCGACGGTGCCGACGGGCCTAGGGGCGGTGGGCGCGAGCGAGGGGCCGGGGGGCGGAGCCTAGGGGCGACGCGCGACGGGTGACGGGCCGGGACCGGGG